AGATGGTTAAATTGGCCAAATTGGGTCATATGATAGTTGAACAAAATGAAATTGGGAATATTTGGGAGGTTTTGGGAATTTTTGGGATTTTTTGGAATTTTTGGAATTTTGGGGTAAGGAGGGGTATTTTGGTAATTTGGCCAATTTTGGTGATTTTGGGTAGTTTGGGTGTTTTCAAGGTTTTTGAAATGATTTTTGAGCCAATTTGGATATTTTGGCTAGATTTGAAAATTTTGGCCAAATTTGGGGTCCCAAAGGTATATAGGTAATTTGGGGGAATTTAGGGGCAAAATGTTAAGTTGGGTGTCTTGGTAGAGTTGAGGTACCAACCACCATCAATAAGCCATGAACCAATGGAAACCTCATTTTGGGTCCTCTATGTAGTGATCTTAGCCAAACCTTAGCCTAAGGCTTATGAGTTTAGGAGACCACCTACATGAGGACCACCTACATGACAAGGGATCAAAGCCTAGAAGTTTAAGTTTAGGATAGTGAGTGATTGTGAGTGCAAGTGATTGCAAGTGAGTGCCTTAGCAGACCAACACCAAGGGTCAACCCCCCTAAGGTCAAGCAATTCTAAGGGTGACTCATCTTGAGTTCCCTTATAATGACCTCACCTACTAAGGGCTAGAGCTTAGGACCAATATGTGAAACTTCAAGTTGAGTAGAGAAGAGTTTGAAATTTCTAATGGTGAGGGTTCCTTATCTAGTTTTCTAAGAATAGCCAATAGGAAAGTGCTATGGCTAGATCTTAGGCTACTAAAGAGGAAAAACTAAACCTCAACCAAAAGTGAGGTCAACAATGATACTATTCACCAACACTTTACTTTTAATTGCTAAACAAAACATTATATGCATGAAAAAGTAATAGAATCTTACATGCAAATTTATGAAAGTCCACTTGTTAATCATTTTGATTAGGCTAGAACATGCTCTCCAAAGATTGTTTGGCCGGTAGATTCTGTCCAATGTTAGAAGCACACAACCCAGTTCTGAGCCCCCACCTTTACCAAAGTCTTACATTTAACATAGTCTTTCATATGTGATGACGGGTTTTATTTTGCTCGATTCATGTTTTTCTTAGAATTTATCTAAGTTTTCCCGTACCAAATTTTCTTATGATTTACTTAAATTTCTTGCACTTTTTATATTATGCTGGTTCTTTCTGCCCCCCCCCCCCCCCTTTTATAACAACAGTAGAGGCCCAAGTACGCACATTTATTTTTTACAACATTTTTTTATTACAACAATCTCTTTTATTGCCCTTTACTTCTTGCATTTATTTACATAATTGCAAGACCTTTAGAATAGAAAATAGAAGTTGGTTTACCTAGAGTGGATCATCACAAAACATAAACATGTACTTTTTAATTAATTGGATTAACAATAATTGAAAGAAAAATATAAGACATAAAATACTAAAATTGGAGCAGCTACCAACAAGGAGCTTGAAGAAAGCCAAAGCAGACGGAGGATGATAATCAACAATAGCAAAACAGATCTACACCAACTAAACTTTCCCAAGAATTAAACAACAAGCCATAGGACTTCGAGGTAGCACGCCTAGCATGACATAAATTCCTAATTTATTATTAGGCCCTTGAATAATCATGTTGTGCAATCTAAGCCTTAGCTCTTTTTAGGCTTTGAGGTTGTCGTTCGTTAAGACATAAACCCCCTATCTTCCAGATCATTTATATAACTATGTCATGCAAATGTCAGCCTTAAATGATAAAATTGGCAAGATGAAACATCAAAATAAATATCTTTTCCAAAACAAAAAGCCACAAATAGGATAGTTTCGGAAGTCACCAAGGTTCTCCTCAGGATCCGTGACCTCCCCTACTTTTCTTACCTTTGAATTCCAAAGTAGTCGTTCCTATTTGGTTCATTCTCATTTGACTTTCCATGTCCGACCTTGAAATTCTAAAGTTTGAAATACTCGAGGGCAAATGACTCAGATCAAATTGAGTCTTCTCAGGTGACTTTGGACATTTGAGATGTAATTGGCCATAGAGGCTTGCCTCTATAGGGAGCTTTAGAACCCCGGTAATATAAATCCTATCTAGTCTTTTATATTAGATAGGGAAACTTGTCAGTCAACATAAAAGGTTTCGCTGACCAAATGGATGTCATAAATTCATTAGTTTACTTAATCAAGCATCACTATCAAGTAATATGTCTATTCTTCAGGATAGATGCATCTCCTGTGGTATTGTACTCGTTTATTTAAAGTATTAAATGAATGAGATCTTCTTAGTCTCATTTTTCAAAAATTAAAATGTTATTTTTAAAGAATCAATATATATATATATATATATATATATATTAAATACAAAGCAAAATTTTCAAGAGAATTTAACAACTGACATCAGTAACGTAGGTCGTAGTTGGTCATGTAGGTCATAGTGGGGAGATGCAATAAGATCAATTGACCATTAAGGTCATATGTCAAAGTTGCATGAGCTAATATAGGTCATAATTAGTCACATAGGTAACATCAATTGGTCATTGAGGCTAGAGTTAGAGGTAGCATGAGCAGTGAACCACATATGTCATAGTTGATCATGTAGGTTGTAATGGGAAACTACAATAGCATGGGTTGGTCATTGAGGCCATAATTAGAATTTAAATAAGTAGTGAGCCACATAGGCCATAGTTGATCAGACAGGTCATAGTAGAGAGCTGCAATGACATCAGTTGGCCACCTAAGCCATAGTTGAAAGATACATGAGTAGCGAGCTACATAGGTCGTATTGGGATTTGTAATAACATCAGTTGACCACCGAGGCCGAAGTTGGAAGATGCGTGACAAGCGAGCCACATAGTCCATAATTGGTCATGTAGGATGTAGTTGAGACCTGCAAAAGTATCATTTGACCATTGAGGTTGTAGTTGGAAGGGACATAAGCAGTGAGCCACATAAGCCGTAGTTGTTAATATAGGCCATAGTACGGAGTTGCAATAACATTAGTTCGCTGCCAAGGCTTTAGTTGGAACATGCACAAGCAATGTGTCACATAGGTCATAGCTAATCACATTGGCCATAATTGAGAGCTACAATAATATTAGTTGGCCATTGAGGCCATAGTTGGTGCTACATCGGTTGGTGATTACAACAGTGGCATCACTTGTCGATATATGATGCAAGAAAAGAACTTTAAGAGTTTGAAGAAAGTTTTTGTATTCTAAATGCAATTTTTGAAAGCAACTGTTACATGGATTTATCATCAGATCACCAAAATGACATTATTTGTTAATCGTACTGGGGCTATGTTGTTTCACTGTATTCAAGGTGTGTCGTTACAATGTATTCAGAGTGTGTTACACAAATTTTAGGATGTTGCACGGCATTGCAGGGTTCACTGACGAAGATGAGTAGGGGATGGTCGACAACAGTCAACAAGTCCGAAGGGCAAAAGTTATCATTGGATCTTCGAATCCATAATGGCTCTTGGATTCTACACCTCTTCCTTTCTCGAGGTTGAAGACTCATGCTAGCTTTCTGGTCCCTTTTGTGAAGGGAGTGGAGCTTTATTTATCAATTTTGAGAGTGACATCCTGCGTAAATACTGCATGAATCTGAAGCACTCCATTAGGCTAGCTAGAGTGATTCCCTTGATCAGATTATATCATAATTGAATGAACTTGGGTTCCTTGGATTTATTTCAACAAGCACTCGATTTGACTATAAGCTTGTCGGATTAATAATTCATTGAACTCTCAAATTTGGCCACTAAAAGCTTCAAAAGGTAGTTTAATGACTTGATTCAGGCTTGATTTGACTCGAATTAGATCAATTTTGGTGTCAGTGGGTTCACCTTGTCGAATTGGTCAGTTTGATTGTGAATTTGTTGCGATTAGAGTTTTAGATGAATTTAACTTTGAATTTAAATATTTTTAATTAAAAATTATTTCTAAATCCATGCCAAATGAACATTTTTTTAACATATAAGAATATAACTTTTTTTATATGATCTATTGAAGATTTAAATATAGTAATGATTTGTTTTTAAAAATTGCCATCATAAGTTCATATTCTTAGAATATATTTTTAAAAGACATGAATAAAATTAGTTTTAGGGCCCGTTTGGGGCAGCTTATAAGGGTAGCGACATTTTTAAAAACGTCGACTAATCGTTTGGTTTGGACGTTTTTGAAAACGCTGCCTGCTGCGTTTGGGATTTTTACACTAAATGCTGGCTGCGGGTCGACTCCCGCAGTCGACGCGCGGGCCGCATTTAAGGATAGACTGCTTATCTTGAAACACACAAGCTGCCCCAAACAATCCTTAATTATATTTTTTTATTGTAATGGATATATATAAAAAAAATCCAGCAGGTGTTCAGATATAAATAGATAGGCACACATAAATTAATATATATAATATATATAGACACACACACAGATGATGTATTCATTAAAAATTGAAGAAGAGGCTCGAACAAATCTTTTCAGATTTATCAGGAATTCCGGATTTAGAGCTGTTGTGTAATTACCGACCTTCATAGAAACTACTAAACCGTAGCTAGGGCAAAATCCAGTAGCTGCAGGAGGACGTAGGAGGAGAATCTGCAGCGGGAGAGAAGGAAATCGAAGGTAAGAAGCCATAGAGGAGGAATTGGACTGGATAAAAGAAGGTAAGGGATGGGAGCTCCGAAGCAGAAGTGGACATCGGAGGAGGAGGATGCCCTCCGTGCCGGTGTGGACAAGCACGGCGCTGGCAAGTGGCGGACTATTCAGAAGGATCCCGAATTCAGCCACTGCCTCGCTACTCGATCCAATATCGATCTCAAGGTTCGATTGCCGACGTTGTTCCTTCTTTGCTCGCATTTGCTTTTTTTGCGTGTGTGTGCGTGCGTGTGTGTGTTCGGAACTCTTTACATCGTTTCGGGAGGCTGAAGGTGTAGATGTGATGAATACGACTGTTTTCTTTTTCGGTTCATTTTAATTTGTTCAATATGGAGGATGAATGGAACTGAAATCGACTTAGATAAACAACAACAACGACAGGAAGCCTTTATCCCACTAAGTGGGGTTTGTTACATGAATACTTTTTCTCTATTGTGTCATATTGATTGTCTTATTATCATTTAATTCTAATAAATTAAGATCATTTGTTATACAAAATGCCCAAGCCTTTCTTGGTCTACCTCTGCCTCTCTGCCTTTCTTAACGTAAGTCAAATATGAGACATCTACGCTCCTAACCGGATCATCACATGGCCAACATTTAATATGACCAAACATCTAAGACGACTCTCTCTAATTTTATCCGTCCCTGAAGCTACACCAAATCTATCACCAATATATTCGTTTCGCATTTTGTCTCTTAAGTGTCAAACCACTCATCCACTTAACCATTCTCATCTCGACAACACTTAACTTTGTTTTATGCTTCTCTTTTAAAGGCCAACATTATGCGCCATAGAACATTGCAGGTCTCACCACCATCTTATAAAATTATCCTTTTAATATAAGCGGTACTTTTTCATCATACAACAGGCCCTATGCATTTCTCCACTTCAACCAACCAACTTGAATTCTACTAATAAAATCCCCATCCATATCATCATCACTTTGAACAATGAACCCCAAGTATCTAAAGCGTTCACACCTTTTAATGATTTGATTACGCATAGTTACAACTCTACCACTAGAGCTACTATTATTAAAACTACATTCCATGTATTCGGTTATAGTTCTACTCAAACGAAGGTCTTTAGTCTCGAATGTAGACCTCCATAATTTTAAGTTTTTCTTGAACTCTTTCTTTAGTTTTATCCACAAGAAGGATATCATTAACGAAAAACATACACCAAGGTACATCCTCCTGTAAATGTCCAGCAAGAGCATCCATAACTAAAGCAAAAAAATATGGGCTTAAAGCTGATCTCCGTTGTAATCCAACTAAAATAGAAAAATATTGGGTCAATCGTCCTTCTGTTCGAACACAAGTAACAACTCTAGTATATATATCTTTAATGAATTGAATATAAGTCATAGAGACACCTTTCTTCTCTAGGACTCCCCAAAGGATTTCTCTTGGAACCTTATCGCAAGCTTTTCTAAATTAACAAAAATCATATGAAGATCCTCCTTGTTCTCTCTATATTTCTCTGTTAAACCTCTCAATAAATGTATAACATCCATAGTAGACCCGCCCGACATAAATCCAAACTGATTATGAGAAATCTTTGTGATACGTCTTAATTTATGTTTAAGTACCCTCTCCCACAATTTTAAAGTATGACACATTAACTTAATTCCACTATAATTTGTACTCTTGTGCATCCCCTTTATTCTTAAAAATGGAAACCAAAATACGCTTTCTCCACTCCTCCGACATCTTTTTAGTTTTTAAAATAATAATAAAGAGTTTATTATGCCAATAAACTCATAAATTTCTTAACTATTTCCACACCTCAATTGAGATATCATCAGGTCCTACTATGTTTCTACCCTTGATTTTTTTAAAGCCTCTTCAACTTCTTTTTTACTAATGCGATGATAAAAATAAAATATTTTATTATTATTGACGATATTAAGATCACTAAGATCGATCTTATTTTTAGAAACTTCATTAAAAAGTTTATCAAAATAACTCACCCAATTATTTTGAATATTTTTTCTAAGAAAACAACTTTTTCTTTTTTATTTTTAATACATTTTACTTGAGTTAACTCTTTTCTTTTCTTTTCTCTTTGTTTGGCTATTTTATACATATGTTTTTCACTATCTTTAGCATCTATTTTATTATAAAGATCACCAAATACAAAATTTTTAGAATCACAGATTATTCTCTTAGAATCCCTATGAGCGACCTTATATTTTTCCCAATTCTCTAAATTCTTACATTTAAATCAATTTTTATAACATAATTTCTTATATTTTATTTTTTCTTGCACAATATTATTCTACCACCAATTATTTTTATTTATAGAGTTTTTTTCTTTTGATTATCAAAATACATCTTTTGCCACTTGTTTAATAGTGTTTGTTACTTTATCTCACATAAAATTGCTTCTTTATGAACATTCCAAATCTTGAAATCTTGAAGTTTGCTCATAAAAATAATTTTATTTGTGTATTTTCAATGCCCCCATATAATTCTTTGATAACGATTTTTAATATTATTTATCTTACAACTCTTTAACTTAAAAATCAGAATTAATAATTGATGTTGAGTACTTAAATTCTTACTAGGAATGACCTTACAAAATCTTACATTCTCGACGATCTCTTCTTCTCATAAAAAAATAATCAATTTGTGTTTTTATTAGATTATTCTTATAAGTAATAATATGCTAATATGTTTTCTTAAATAAAGTATTAGCAACAACAAAATCATAAGCTAATGCAAAATCTAATATGACTCTATCTTCCTCACTAATCATTACAAAATCGTAGCCATTATGAAAATTTCTAAAATCTTCTATCTCTCTACCAATATGTCCATTTAAATCTCATCCAATAAAAATTCTTTCTTCAAATGTATCATTTGTATTAAGTCTTCTAGGTCATTCAAGAATTTTACTTCAGAACTTTACATCTAAACCTATTTGAGGAGCCTAAGCACTTCTAATGTTAAAAATATTCATATCAACAACAATCTTAAGGGCTATAATTCTATCTCAAAATCTATTAATTTTTATAATATTATCTTTCAATCTTTTATCTATAATTACACCTACACAGTTTCTAATGCAACTCCTTCCTGAATACCAAATTTTAAAACCTAAGTTATCAATCTTCTTTGCCTTTTCTTTTCTCCAACCTATTTAATTTCTTGAATACATTATATGTTTGTCTTCCTATGAACCATAATATCTACTAATTCTATTAATTTACCTCTGAGAGCACCTATATTGTAAGGTTCTATCCTAATATCAGTTTCATGGACTAACTTCTTTACCCGCATCCATCCATAATGTGGGAACTCTTGCTTATTTGACACTACAATCGGGCGCCGGTGCAGTGGCCCTGACACACTGTTCACTATATTCAGACCATACAACGCGTCACTTTCAGGGGATGCCCTCTCATTTGCACAAGGATAGAAAGAATTCATGTCATGATTTTTTGAAAAATTTTACACTGACTGTCGACTACCTAACACAACCCTCAACTTCTTATATTTCGGGCTTGAGACCTAGCAATGACAGTGTTTAAATTTGACTTCATAAAATTAAGACAAAAAAAATCAAGCTTTATTTTTTTGGTTAGTATTGATTTAAACGGAAAATCGTCTGAAAAATAAGCTAAGGTGATAACCACAAGAGTCAACAGTATTTTTTTAATGATAATTTAAACAGAAAATCGTCTGAAAAATAAGCTAAGCTGATAACCGCAAAAGTCATCAGTATTCTTTTTAATGATAATTTTGTTCGCATGACAAATTCTACGATTTTCATAGAAAAATATCTGTTTCAGGACAAGAAGCATTTGATGTTCATGATTTTAGTCCATTGTGCATATTTGATGTTCATTGTGGCTATTGCATCCTTAAAATTGAATTAGGCTGTTATTCTGCTGTATAATTAATAAAGTTTTATGTATGATAATGTTTTAAATTATTTTTAAACTATGTGACACAATGGTTAGTCAAGGGCATTCATTGTAATAAATTCCATTGATGATTGCAGGAAGCCAAATTTTAAAGAATTTCAAGATATAAGACCCAAATGTTTGTTTTTCAGGAGGACTAGAATGCTAGATAATTTGTTTTATGGTATAAAAGCGATCATGTCATGATTGCTTTTATACCATAAAACAAATTATGTAGCATTCTAGTCCTCCTGAGTTTGATCATATTAAACGTCGACCATTAGATGATCCGATTAGGAGAGTAGATGTTTTAAATTCGACTTGTGTTAAGAAAGGCAGAGGTAGACCTAGGAAGACTTGGGCTTATTGTATTAAAAATGATCTTAATTTACTAGAACTAAATGAAAATATGACACTAAATAGGACGCAATGGAGAAAAAGGATTCATGTAGCCGACCCCACGTAGTGGGATTAAGGCTTTGTTGTTGTTGTTGTTGTTGTTGTATAAAAGCGATCAATTCAAATGAAAATTTTATAGCATGCATAATATGACACCTATAACTGTTTCTTGTCTTTAGCATCTCTTTTTTCTTTCATTGTGACTCAACAATACATTTAATCTAACCCAACAAAGTAGAGCCCCTAACCATTTCACGACGGGGAAGCAATATATTTTCTGTTTATTACAGTTTAATAGTTGATCTTGAATAGCTAATTTAATTTTGCAAATATGTGGCTCTTTAAATTCATCTTCTTCCATGTTAGTATAAGTCATGCTTTGAAGTTTTTTAGATTAGCTTAATCCCTCCTAAAACCATTAGATTGCCTTTTGCATGACTTATGTGGATTGCTTTAATAATTATTTAATCTTTCTAGGTGCCAAATTATTCTAACTAATCTTTGTGCTAGTTAATTTAGGGTATGTTGGGGTAGCTGTAGCTTATTCAACCTATCCAGATAAGCAGCTTATCTTGATAAGCTGGTTGACCGTTTGGTTTGTGTGTTTGGAGAACAACTGATTTGCAGCCGTTTCTTAATAAATGATCATTCTGCCTCTGATCTGGATAAGTTGTTTAAGCGTTTGGTTTCTGTGTTTATCATTAGATCCTCATATATTGATGCATCGAAAAGAAGAAAGGTGGATGTGAGTCGCACAATTTCCTCTAAATATTAGCCCTCGGCACGAAAATTGCAGATGAGCAGAGCACGGTATGTGACAAGTAAATTTCTACATAAAAAATGAAATGATAAAAAAAAAACAATTCAACAAGAAAATTCAGCTTACAGTAACAAAAAAAAAAGAAATTGTTGTATCGCAATTTCATGGTGAATGAATTCCAGTACTTTCACGAGATCGACATAGAGATCTCTTCACAAAAATAATACTTGTCACCTCCGACGATTTGCAGGCCATCGTAACCTCATAACCTTCCTCTCTAATCTCAATCATCACATCCTCGTCATCCCCATCTCTCCTCCCCTCCGACAACTTCTCCTCTTCCAAATACTGAACTGCCGCAACATCTCCCACAAGCTCACCTTCTTCTTCACTCTTTGCAATCGAATGCTCAACTGGACCGATGACACCAGCGCGACAGAGTGGACAGTTCGAGTGCGAGCATATCCACGTGTCTCTGCAGCTCTTAGAAAAGCATGACTGCATTTTGGAAGAAGACGGAGGCAATCGCCGTCACGAAGCTCCACGAGGCAGACTGAGCAGTCGCGATCACCGTTGACGATGGAGAAGGGCACTGAAGGTAATTCCGATCAAACATAGTTCTTAGAAGCAGGACACGGGGTTGATTCTGCGCTCACTTCTTTAACAAAAACCTAAATGCCGTTTTCAAACCGTCGAAGAATTGCGCAAACCAAACAAAATTTCAGCGTTCTCAAAACGCCACTGCAGACAATAAGCTGCCCCAAACGCATCCTTTAACTCAAAACGCCGCCTGGGTTATGCTTCTCTTCTGCCTCAAGTAGTGTATGATCTAAATTACTAATGAACCATTAATTGTTCTTTCAAAAAATAAAAAAAAGGAAGTCATGAGATGTATTACTCAGCTAGAGATGAAAGCTTATGATACAATTTGGAGTAGATTTCCCTCAGAAATGAGGACAAACACATATTTTGTTTCATGAACACTAAAATGGAAACAATACAACACAAATGCATAAATATAACCACCTACAATTCATGGAGTAGGTAATTTCTCTTGAATCCTACAATTCAAGAGGTAGGGTATCTCTCGCCAAACCCTAACCTTAACCCTAACACTCAAGACAACAATCTCCTATATAACCCTAACCTAAACTATTAACTATTTAGCCATATTTATACCGAATAGTAATTTATAATAAAACAATAAAATGCCCTGAGGCTAATAAAAGATAAAATTACCCTTAAATTTGACACCAACATAATAATATTTCCCTCTCAAAGAAGCACCTTTCTCTAAGGTTAAAAAAAAGCTGTTGCTGGATTAAGCTCCCATGCCTACTCGCACACATTGTAAGAAATTGTAATGTCCAATCCTTGTAATGGTGTCCTAGGGCAAATTTTTCATCACACCAAAAGCATAACCACTTTGCTCGCTTCTTCTGAATCTCTGTCTCTGTCAGATGTTCTATTCATGCGTTAGGGAGCCCCCCTCCAGACTTTCACTATTTAAGTTTTTGATATCGTCGTAGTTATAACATTTCAGTAAGACTCTTCACTTGTGCTACTCCTATTAGCCTGTTCAATTGCATTTTTATTTTCAACCAATTGTGTTAATTTCACAGTTTTCCACAATTCTTGAGGCTTCAGCAGATGAAGAGTTGCATGTGTGTCAGTGCTTTAGACCCTTCACGAAATATCCCTCCAATACTGCTTCAGAAGTTTCCCTCAGCAGTATCGACAATAGCTTGAATCTCTCCTTATTATCAATGAAAGTCCTCTCTTTTGTCAAAGCACTCGTGTAGTCTCCATACCAAATGGCTCGAAAGCTTTCCAACAAGCAGGCAGATCGGCTATCTAGTCTCTCTCCACCTAAACCATGCTAGGGCTTTCCCTTACAAATATAACCCGCCACCATGAGTTTCTCCTCCCCTTTTAGCCCATTCACAACAAAATATCGCTCCACCCAGTACACCCACCAATGTGCTTCTTCCTTCTTGAAGATTGATATCTTTAACTTCCTAACCTTAGCATCTCCACTCCAACTTCTTCTCCCTTTGGTGTCCCCCATGTATCTATGGTAAAACTCTTTCCTTCGATCTAAATCATACCCCTTTCTGGCTGTTCTTCTCTCTTCTTCGTGCTCCTCCATACCTCTTGCATAAACCCTTTCCATTTTTTGGCCCCCCTGCCTCCCTCCTTATGCCACACGCCTATTTCACAAATTCTCCTTCAATCTAATCGGGTCTGTACTTCTTCTCTGATAGTGTCTGTACCTCTTCTCGGTTTTGTCTCATGATTGTTTTGGGCGAAAACAACTTTATATGCCGCAATCTCATCGGTCTTCCTAGCTAAATCGCATCTGCTTCGCAGGGCTCAGTCACGAAGAGGTAGCGCACATGTCATGCAAACCTTATCGCTTGCTGTCGCTGCCCGCCTCAATCCCGTCGCGATTGTGCCGCTACTAAAGGTACGCTACAATCTTGTTCTACTTCTAGTAAGTAGAATCCGCGATCCGGTCATTGACTTCTCGATAATTGAGAGCTTTGATATCAATTTGATACGATCCGTAATAGATTTTTCACAGAAATCCGAGCAAACATAATTTTTTTCATGAATACCAAAATCAAACAATATAACACAAATGTATAAATATAAGCACATATAATTCAAGAGGTAGGCAATCTCTCTCAAATACTAAAATTCGAGATGTAGAAAATCTCTCCCTAAACCCTAACCATAACTCTCAAGACAATAATTTCGTGCACAACACTAACCCTAGACTATTACGCCCTATTCATACCAAATAATAATTAATACGGATAGTTACATACATAGCACCCGAAACATTGCTATTTACAAAATCTAGCATCCAAGTGATATTTTTGAACCACCGAACCGATGTATTTATGCGTGCCACGATCAAACAATTGAGAATTTGATAAAAATAAAAAATCTGGGTTGGGGTTTCATCATGAATTTTTATATTTCAGTGAGAATTTGAAAAATGGTTGAAAAACGGTGGTTTATTTGTAAATAGCGATGTTTCGGGTGTTATTTATGTAATTTCCCCTTAATAAAGGACTAAATTACCCCAAAACTAATAAAAGACAAAATTACCCTAAGACTAGGCACCGGCGTAACGATTTAATATGCTCAAATCCTGTTTGCTTTTGTTCATATACACTTTTCTTTGGTTCCCTGTCAGCATTTTAACTTCTCTGTTTTTGGAACTACCCTTGTCTGTATCAATTATTGTCTTTAAAACTTTCTAAACGTAGATAATTGGTTCATATGATTTGGTTTTAGGGTTAAAATCTGAAGAGAAAACCTTAATAGAATAATAACTGTTGGAGGATTGGCATTTCATGTACCCTCACAGGACAATGTAGAACAAGGCTTATAAAGTTGCTCCAAATATTTGGGACAAGGCTAATGATGATGCTAATTATGATGAATTTGTTTGAGGATTTAAAAGGTTTACTTGATGTGATGGGGATGTGCTTGTTAGATATAGTATTTTTTCTGTTTGACTTCCAGTAAGTTTTTTTTTTGAATTTATAAATAAGAATGTACTTTTAAAATTTTAATATTTATTATTTTGTCATAATATTGACTTTTGCTGTAATTAAGTCAGTTGGTTTGAAGAGGTGCATTGTGATGTCATAGTTTCCTTGAACTATATCAGTACCATATTTGGAAGGGCTTGGTCCAATATGTGATAAAGGAGCTTAATCTTGAAATGTACTACTTTATCCTTGTCTCCCTCTTAAATTTTACACATTGGTCAGAACAATTTCTAAAATGGAATAGACCTTTTTGCCCCTCATTGTTCTCATGCCTCTACTTGATATTTTTTCTTAAGTTTACTCGCAGAATTGACAATAATCCAACATTGTAGGATATAAGGTTTACATGCCTTTCATTTGGCTTCAATAACTGCCCACTTTCAAAAGAATTGTAGCTTCTGGGAGGTTAAAATAGTCCGTGGGTTCAATGAATTACAGGCTTTTGAGGCTGTATTTTGGCTGATATGTCTATATGACCTTAACTTTTGTTACATTTGAACAAAATTTACCATTTTGAATTGTCATCTATCATAAAATCTGTGGCTGTTTTTATTTATGACGTGGTATTTTAGGTTCTACTTCATCAGGATATATTCTAATTCCAATGGTCGATGATGCTTATAGAATATTTCTTTTAAATAGGATAAATGGCGAAATATGATTGTTAGTGCTAACGGACAAGGTATTAGGGAGAAGTCAAGGACTCCAAAGACAAAGGCTCTATTGGCTCCACAATCTAGCACTCAGAGCTCACCAATTCAGGCTCCTGCAAAATTTGAGAAGCAACCCACAGCGGAATCCATTAAGCCTCCTCAAGATGCAAAGATTCCTTCACGGTTTGCATGGCTTTCTTTTTACGATATTTTACATTGTTTATGGGCCTTTTATTGTATGCAAATTTGAAGTACACACACAGATATATATATATATATATATATATATATATATATATGGCGAAATGTTAATGCAAATTGACGATTTTGATATCTTTTTTTCTCAAGATGTGCTTATAAGGAAATGATCGTCCTCGGCGAGCCTTTAGTTTTTGACTGCCCTTAATGTACGACCATACAACTAATTTCATTGTCAACAAAATCAATTTTTCCGCTCTCACGAAATAAAATAGAATATTTTAATTGTTTTCATCTTTTGTATTGAGTTCTATTCAATGGCTTTCTTAAGAATTGCTGCAGATTTAGTCGGGAAGTTCTTAGTTTTCAAAATTATAATTTCATGCAAGGTCCTATATTATTTAGATGACTATAGAAACATTTCGTCTATCCTTAGATACCTTTGGACAATCCTTTTGCAGAGCACAGAAATCACCATTCTCTCCAATTACTATAGTACTTGCATGTTGGATTGACTTCATCCCTGCATTTCAATCTAGCTTGAACAACTGAGATCAAATTCACTATATTTTTGCTGAAACAACTGCTTGATGGGTTACAAAAAGCATAATGATAAGAGGCAGAAGGATTCCATAATTGCACATAATACCTGCTGCTTCTTTGTTTTCTTAAGTGACCAAATATTTGGCGCTTAGTATTTTAAATCTATTTACCTGATATTGGGAGAGCTGAAAATGAGCTTTTTATCGGATTGATTTAGATGATCTTTTTTGTTTGATGAAAACGAACTTTAGTGGAATGTGTTGCGTGGAAATATTTGGTATATTCTTTCATTGAATATAGGTGCGTATTTATTATAAACATATAAGGTGATAGCATTAGAAAAAAAATTAAGGGGAGATCAATAATTAAATGGAAAGGAATGCATAATTGTCCAAGTCAATTACTCTCCCAAGATGAATATTCCGTAATATTATTTTCTTGATATGTGTAATATGCCAGTACTCTTCCTCAAGCTGATATATGAGCTTACTACACAAACATGAGATTGGTGGATCACCTGGAACTTTCATGAAGATTTTCACCACCTGTTCTGAATTGAAACATAAAGATTTAATAACTTTTTGGAAAGCACAACATTCCTTATGAAATTACATGAACTTCATTGTGTTTAGCTCATAAAAATCATGATTATTGACATTATAGATGAAATCAGAGTTTTCACAGATAATATCATAGGTTGAGTATGAAAAAAAAATATTTTCTTATAGAAGAATTTTAACACTGTTAATTTCATATACTAAATGTGCCGTAGCATTTTTTTCAACCTTTTGCCCTAAATTTGATCGCAATAGTTTATTTCTTACTATTCTAGGTGATAATTTTACCTTCAACGAAGATACAATATCATGAAGCAAACTCTCTTTTCAAAGGAGCTGACATAATCATCATCAGATGTGTTAGATTTGAGAGTAGAGTAGGATACATAATATTATTGATAGGAGGTGAGGTATTTAATCCTAATTATAATAGATACAATAAAGGAAAGAAATAAAAACAGAATAAAATAAATAGAAAAAAAGATAAAACATAATAAAACAAATAAGAAAGCTAATAATAAGTAATAACTGCTAAGGTTTGCCATTATAAATCTAATATTTCCCCACAAATTAAAACATATATATCGGTCATGTTCAACTTAAATTTGAAGTCACTGAATAAAGGACGAGGAAGATTCTTGGTGAAGATGTCCGCTAGTTGACCATTAGAGCGCACAAAAAGAACACAATTTTTTTCGAACTTAATCGTTTCCTTAATAAAGTCTTTGTCAATCTCCACATGTTTGGTAAGATCATGCTGGACTGGATTGTGAGCAATGCTGATGGTTGCATTCTTATCACAAGATAGTTGCAGCGGGACGGAGATGGGCATACGAAGTTCGAGGAGCATAATGCATAACCAGAGAGCTTCATAAATTTCCAAGGACATGGACCGAAATTCAGCTTCAGCACTGCCCTTGACAACTACAAACTGTTTTTTGCTTTTCCACATGATAATATTTCCTTATACAAATGAACAATGTTCTGAGGTGGAACGACGATCATGAACCAATCTGGCCCAATCGACATTTGTATAAATGACAAAAAATTGACATATGTGACGAGAGAAAAACAAACCTGAGCCTGGTGTACCTTTTAAATAGTGGAGAATCCGGTGGAGATATTGGAGGTGGTTCTCATAGGGGTTATGCATGAATTGACTCACTATATCAACTACGTGATATATGTCGAAATGAGTATGGGCGAGGTAGATGGGTTTTCCCCCAAGACGCTGGTAGTGAGTTTTGTTGGCAGACACAACATTGAGAATGTTAGCTAATTTATCATTGAAATCTATATGAACAATAACAGGTTTGTGCAGAAGAAGGTTCTTCTTTGTCAAGAGATCAATCATATATTTGCGTTCAAACAGACAAATGCTCTTTGATGACCGAGCCACTTCCATGCCTAAGAAGTATCAGAGAGATTCCAAGTCCTTTATTTTAAAGGACGTAATAAGAATGTCTTTCAAGACTACAATGCTGGGAGGTCGTTGCTTGTAAGGACAATATCGTCAACATAGACAATAAAGATATTTACTTATTGGAGGAATGCAGGAAGAAGAGGGAGTGATCCGTTTAAGCATGAGTAAAATCATGACCCACGATCACCTTTGTGAACTTGTCATACCCGGGCCTTGTGAATTGCTTTAGCCCATAAAGGTTCTTTCATAGCCTTCACACTTGCTCTCTGGAGACAGTAGTGTCAAAGTCAAGAGGGAGAGACATGTTCACCTCTTCTGTAAGCTCTCCATTCAAGAATGCATTCTTGACATCTAGCTGGAATAACGTTCAATCTAAATTCACCGAAAGGGACAATAAAACTTGAATAGTGTTTAACTTAGCCACTGGAGCAAATGTCTCCTCCTAGTCAATCCCGTATGTTTGTGAGCACCCTTTGACGATCAATCACGCCTTGTTGCGTTCAAGGGATTCAACAGAGTTGAACTTGATGCTGAAAATCTATCGACATCCTATAGCTTTCTTTCCCCGAGGAAGGTCAACGACTTCTCACGTATGGTTTCGTTGAAGTGCATTCATCTCCATTAATGCTGTTTTCCAGGATGGATCAACAAGAGCCACCTTACTAGTCGCTGGGATCTAATAGTCCATTAGGCTCTGTTGGCCGACAATAGACTGTGAAAAGAGACATATTTTGCTATAGAATAGAGAGCATGTCTAATTGCATATTTTACTCGGAGAACTCATCTTTTTATTTGGAGGGGTTGTGTTGAGGATGTCGTCCGAAGTTAAATCAAGGTCTTGTAAGGAGGTAGCGGGCTCCAGCGTAGGAGCATTGGGACAGGTGCTTAGAGTGTAAACATGGACAGTGGAAGGAGGAGAATGTGCATTCAACGGAACATGAGACTCCTTAATGGTAGGAACAATAGGGGGAACATCCATAGGAGTAAGATAAGGGACGGTGTCTAAGAACTCAAGCTCCCCTTCAGTTGAGATCGAGCTAAAAAATAGAGAACACTTTCAAAGAAGGTGCCTTCATCACTCACATTGACTTTGTTTGTGGTAGGATTAAGACACTTATACATTTTTTTGGCTACAGAGTACTTTAAGAAGATAAATTTTATGGATCTGGGATCAAATTGTCTTTTAAAATGTAGACCAATGTCATCTGAGTGTGGTCATCAATCAAACTCAAAGACCACCATTTATTAGTGTTGTTGGAAGTGCGAGAGGGTCTTCATATGTTATAATGAATAAGAGAGAAATGAGCGGAAGGTGTGTAAGTGTTGGGTGGGTAATTGATTTGATAGTGCTTAATTGACATTTCTCGCAATTAAAGTTAGAAAGATGTTTATTACAAAACATCAAAGGATACAAATTTTAAGTGTTGGAAACTAGGATGACCCAAACGACTATGCAACTACGTAATGAGACATTTAATGACTCGGGATAAACTAAAACTTCTGAGTGTCTTTGCTCTCACTCTCCATGCTCTTCTCTTGGAAGTAGTAGAGTCCAGCTATTCTCTTAGCCGTTTCAATCATCCTTCCCGAATTACGATCCTGAAAAACACAACCATCAAAAGAGATATTAGTAATGCAATCAATATCATTCGTTAACTTGCTGACATATAACAATTTATATTGCCATAGGGGAACATGTAATACCGATTCCAGAGTTAGACCAATCGTTAGTACAACCGACTATTTACCAGCAATGGAACTACATGAGACATCAACAATTCTAACAGTAGCTTTTATAGATCATGGATAACTAGTTGAGAAATCTTGCGAGCATTCAGTTATGTGATTCGTGTCATCTGAGTTAATAATCCACGGACTAGAGGAATAAATCGTGAGAGCCATAGGACGAGTAACTTGTTGGACGTGGGAGGTCGATAGGCCACTGAAACTTGATTGGCTATGAGAAGTTTAATCAATTGCTCCATCTAGTTTTTCAGGGATTCAGAGGATTCTGGGATGTTTCGGGTAGGATTCGGTTAAGCCGTGGTAGAATCGGATGCCGCCGTGAGTCCCTTGGCAGCAAATGATTTGGTCGAATGTTTGTATGCCGGTTTACTGTGAAGTTTCCAACACTTGTCCTGAGTGTGATTTGGTTTGTAATAATCACATGTGAGGTGACCGGTTCGAGGCGACACAGACGAGAGTGGATCAACTATTCGAGATCAAGGGGATGCTTTGGCTGAAACAGTACAACTGTAGAGCATGACAAGTCTTCGATTCTCTTCCCGACGAATCTTAGTGAAAGCAGCACGAGCGAAGGGAAGAGAATCCCGACCAAGGATACTGCCCCTGAATTCATCAAGGTCTTTGTTAAAGCAGTCAGAAATTGAAACATGCGATCATTTTCTACAATTTTCTGGTAGAGAAAAAGGTCAATCGGAGAATCCCAAGTGTAGTCGTTG